AAGTGTCTGGCTGTGCTCATGTCCATCCCACAGCAGCTGTACCTTTGAAGCATTTGTGGCCCAAGGATAGGTCTATGCTGGAAAAGGTACATCTCAGAGCATCTGTGGCTGTGGGATAAATCCATGCTGCAGCAGGTACACCTTGAAGCATCAGTGGCCATGCACAAGGTCATGCTGGAGCACCTGAAAGTATGTGGCTGTGGATAAGCACATACAGAGCAGGTACGCTCCTGAAGGGACTGAAGGCACGGTTAAGGCCATGTTGGAGCAGGGTCACTCCCAATGGGACTGTGGCTATGGGTAAGGTCACATTGGACCAGGTGTGTCTCTGAAGGCATTGTGGTCCCTAGATGAGGCCACGCTGGAGCAGGTGCACCTCAGAGTGACTGTAGCTGTGGATAAGTCTAAGCCACAGCAGGTATATTTCTGGAGGGACTGTGGCTCGTGGATAAGGCTCCACTTAGAGCAGGTACACCCCTAAGAGATTGCAGTCTGTGATTAAATCCAAGCCAGAGCAGGGGCAGGGGAGGAAGGAGGAGTTCATTGCAATGTTAAACCTGATGGTCTGGTCCAAAGGGACGAGGGGTGGAAGTTGTAATGGAAATACCTTTAAATTGTTGTAGCCCATTATTTGAGATTCATGTTATGGAATTACCACAGCAGGAAGCACCCAAACCTGTAGAGAAGCTGTACAAGAGGAAGTGCCACTGCAGCAGTGACCCGACCTGAGCTAGCTTTGATGCCCAGTAACTCCACACAACACAGCACCTTTCCTGCCCTAAGTAACCACCAGAACAGATAGAGCCCAAAGTCATGGACTCAATGAACTCAGTGGTCACTTTGTGAATATTTGTGGACATTTTACAGGCACTTTACACAGTGGACTAGGGCACTTGTATTTTACACATAGACTAGGGGAATGATATCTGTGTATTATATCAGAGAATGGGAAGGTGGCTGATGATTAATGAGGTTGTGTGAATAGTGTGGGACCTGAGCATCACATAAATGGTATGGAATGTGCTGGTTTAGGCTGGGATGGAGTTAATTTTCTTCACAGTACCTGGTATGGGGCTATGTTTTGGATTTGTGCTGAAAACAGTCCTGATAACAGAGGGATGTTTTAGTTCCTGCTGAGCAGGGCTGACATAATCAAGGCCTGCTCTGCTCCTCACCCCGCCAGTGAGTAGCTTGAGCAGACACACTGCTGCGATGACTGACCCCAGGGATATTCCAGACCATCTATGGTCTGGAATAGTATTAAAAGTATAAATAGTATAAAAAGTGGGGGGGAAGAAGGAAAGGGGGGGTATTTGTAGTGATGGTGTTTGCCTTCCCGGGTCAACCTTACCATGATGGAACGTGACTGTCCTGGGGATGGCTGAACACCTGCCTGCCCCTGGGAAGTGGGGAATGAATTCCTTGTTTTGCTTTGCTTGCATGTTCAGCTTTTGCTTTCCCTTTTTTCATGGGATAAAATCCACAAGTTTTCTCACTTTAGATTCTCTCCCCTGTCCCACTGGGGTGAGCAAGTGTCTGTGCAGGGCTGAGGTTAAACCATAACACAGAACGCATGGGAAACCTTTGTCTGAGCTTAGAAACTTCTGATTTGGGATGTCTCCAAGCCCAAATCCCCAGCCTCTGCTGCCTTATGAAAATGTAAAATGTAAAAGATGAGTGATTATTTTCATATGCCTGCTATGCAGGTCTTCTAGATACCAATATCTGGTAGAGCAGGGCAAGAATTCCCAGCTTTTATTTTTTTTTTTTTAAGAATTCTCCTGATGAAAATCACAGATCTGATTTTGTCTCCCCAGGCAGAGCTGGCACAGGGGATGTTCACATGGACTTAAGTTAGGCTGGCCACAGGGCTGGTGGTGATCTTCCACACTGGGAAATTGTAATGAAATAATTTTCTTTCCCTGGCGTTTTCATTTTAAAAAGATGTTGGGTTTTTGTTCCCTTTTCTGCCAGCCTTCTTTCTGCAGTTCCTGCCACATTATTTAGTGATTGTGCTGGCTGCCCAGCAGAGGGGTGTAGAAACCAGCACAGGCACCAAACCTGCTACCATTGCGCCCAGTTCCACATCCCCATTGCCCCCAGTTCCCATCATTGTCCCTGCACGTGCTGGAGCCGGGGGACCCGGGCATGGGCAGGACCAGAGGGAGGCAGGCAAGGAGGTGATTGAGGGAGTGAGAAGAAGCCACCCAAGAGCTGTCAGTGCCATCCCAGTGCACAGCCCTACCCTGGGTACACAAGGTACACAATGCCGTGCCTTGCCCATCACTCCAGAAACAGTCAGCACATGAACACAATGCCAGCGTGGCATTGCCAGCACCAGGGTTTCTGGCCTGGAGCGTGAGGTGAAGGAACACCCAGGAGTGGCCTGCTGCTGGGTTGTTACAGGGGCTTCCAGCCTTTCCTGGATTTATTTGCCTGGAGTGTTGTGGGCTGGATGCCCTCAGGAGCTGAGAAAGTAACCATCTCTGTCCACATCCAGCACAAGGCAGGGTGTGTGGTATCCCTTGGGAGCTCCTTTGACCTCACCAGTGACAGGAACAGGTCGTGCGTGGTAACTCCTCTCTCATCCTCTCCTCTCCACCTTTGCAGGCTGCTCCGCCACTCAGCCAGCTGCCCAGGATGTGGTTTTTCTAATGAGGCAGTTTGGGGTCTTGAGATTAGGTCCAAATTTCCTTCCCTCCATCTGCTTCCCAGCCTTTGTCCATCTGCTCTTGGTTTGCATCAGGCATGGCTGACATTTCTCACTGTGGGTGGGTCCTGGGCAGTGCAGCACAAGGAGCCCCAGGGATGCCCCGATCAGCATTCACTGCCTGTCCCTGACACCTACCAGACCCATGGCCAGGATGACCATCAGTACCCAGCCACTGCTACACAGGCAGGGGCTGCCAACACCAGCCCTGCCTGTCCCCATTCCTGGGTGTCCTGTTCTCCCAGCCCTCCAATGCCAGCCACAGGTGTAGGGAATCTCAGGATGGGGAGGGCCTGGTATAGGCACAGGTTGGCAGGTGGGTGTGGATGGGACTCCAGAACCTCAAGTCTGGTCTGAGGATGGTGATTTGTTGAGTCCCTTTGCATTCCATCCTGGGGGGCTTCTATCCCCTTCTCTGGCTACTCTCCTTGCCCTGGGGTTCAGCACTTTTTATTCTGAATAAAACCCAGAAATTCTTTGAACTCTAGGAGCTAGATGAGTGGAGGGACTTTGTGACACTGCAGCAGAAGTGTTGAGTCGTTAAACTTACGTCCTAGAATATGCTCTTTGCATTAAGGAAATTAATCACAGATTTAGTGGTCTAGTGGTTAGGATGCAGCACTCTCACCACTGCGACCCGGGTTCGGATCCCGGTCAGGGAAACTCCCCCGGGCAGATGGAGCTCGTCAGCCCTGTAAGGCCATCCATCGAAGAGAAGGTCACTCTAAACAAACCTACATCCTGAGGACCTCACTGCCACTGTCCAAGCTTGCTCGGCCCCGGCAGATGAACCTCAGGATTAAAGGGTGGGCTCAGTTCAGCGCACACTGGGTCTCACCTAAAAAATCCACTGCGCAGGCTTGAAGGGTAATGACCTTTCCCAAATCTTCGTCCGCGAAGACTGGCCATACTATTTTTTCTTTTAGGAAAAACTCTTTAATTTCTGTGAATCCCTCTTATGAGTCCTTTTTTGTGCTGCCCACAATACTTGGCCTTCTTGCCTTGGGCTGAAACTTATTTAGCATTAAAAATGCTACTCCCAACAGTATTAATAACACCTAAACCCTTATGAGCTGGAGATCCAAAGAGCTGATCTCCTCTCTGGGAGGAGATCAAAGGCTGATCTCCTCTCTGAAGCAGCCTGTCAGTCCTCCTTCCCAACCATGGGGAAGGGGCAAAGTTTGCAACAAGGGTGGCTGGAATAAAAATATTTCTGGAAGGAAGTGGAGGGTTAAGGCTTGTCAGTAGGACGGCTGACCTGCTAGTGCAGCTGTCCATGGAATGATAGAGCCATTGAGGTTGGAAAAGACCTTTGAGGTTATCAAACCCCAGCCATTAATCCAGTGCCAAGTCATGAAGCTGGTGGGATGTGGAGGTTGTGCCCATGCCCTTGGCTCTTGATGAGCTGTGCTGGCCTGGTTGGTGGAAGGCTCTTCTGGCAAGGATTTCAGCTGGAACACCACAATGAAGCCAAGCAGGAGGGTGGGAGCCTGCTGTCAGAAGCTCTGGAGGAGCCCCAGCTCCAGCAGATCTGGTGAGCAGAGCAGAGGTGAGGGCAAAAGCCATCAGGAGCTGTGATGGTGGTGGATGACATGAAAACACCCTCTGGGACAGTGCTGGGGGACACATGGAGGCATCTGGCACATGAGAGTGGGCTGGGCTTAGTAATGGCTTGTAGGCAGTGACCCTTCACTGCCCAGGAAGGGGAAAACTAATTCATTCACCATGGTAGGACCTCAGAGCATTTCTGTGCAGTCAAGAAAGCTGCTAGCCAGTGCTCAGCTGCTTATCCTGAACACCAAACATATAATGAATTATGTCCTTTCATGCACATTGCAAGGATAAACATTATCAAATAATTTATTCTTAGATCTTTGTACATGAGCAGAGATAGAGATTTATTCTCAGCAGTACAAACTGCTTTCCACAAAGGTTATATCTTTGGGCTTTGACTTTGGATGCATCGAGTTTATTTTTCTCTACCACAGCTTTATGTGATCAGACTTCAGAATTAACCTGGTAAATCCAGCAGAACATCTCTGGGCTGTGCCATGTGTGAAAGAGAGATTTAGTAGCACACAGAACTGAAAGGAAGAATGGCCCTGCTGCAGGTAACTGCTGGCACACCTGAGCTGTCTTTTGGGTTGAGTTTACCTGGGATGGAAGGTGCTACTGAAATGAGAACACTTTTGTACCTTTTAAATGACACAGAGCAGGAGATCAGCCCATTTGTGGACTTTTCAAGAAAGGGTAACCTCTGTAAGAATAGTTTGTTAATTTGCTCCTCCCCTGATTTTACTGAGTTGATTGTTTTTTAATTTCCTTCTATTTTGAAGGCATTACAGATGCTCACATGAAGAAAAAGTTTGCATTCACAGCTTAATTTTAACCTTTTCCCACAACTTGCCGACAAGCTTGTTTATGAAAATGGTTTAGTTTTCACTGAGTACAAACATAGGTAAAAGATTGTTTGGGTGTCATTTATTAAGCTAAATATTTAATTTTTTTAACAGTAAAACCTAAAATGCATCCATAGAAAAATAAAAACCATGGCTGTAGCATTTGCCAAGTGATATGAAAACATTGGAACTGGCTGCATTCTTGACACCTGGATGTTGCCTGTTTCAGCAGTGCAGAGGATTGCCCAGGCTCCTGGGGCCACAGGCAGCAAATCTGTGGGTTTCAGCTGAGGTGTGATGTGGATCTAAGATTTTCCACGAGATGGCACAGAGGACTTTGAAAGACTCTTTCTATTGCTGTGGTGACCTCACCATCTCTTGTATATGTGATGCTGGGGGTGATGTGCAGGGATTTCCCACTGCATCCAATCTTGCTACAACAGGGAGCTGTCGGCAGCTGGGCTGAACCTTGGAGCAGGATATCCCCCAGCCTCTCAGTCAGGGCATTGCCTTGGTGATGATCACGAGAGCCCCAGGGAACGCCTTATTACCAGGGGCAGACACAACCTTTTTAAGGAGCCAGTATCTGTATCAGGGAATTGCCCCACTGGCCATGTCTGAAAGCTGCTCCAGTGGCTTCCACCTCTTCATAGCAGTCCTTGGGAATGAAGCCTTGAGATTTAGGTGTAACTTGGTCAGCTGAATCTGGGCCTTCAAGTCCTTACAGCAAGTCTGACCTCCCAGGAGGCACCTAAACTTGCCCTAGGCCAGACCTTAGCGAAGCCCTGGCTTACAGTCCCTGTAAAAAACACACGGCACAGGGAGATACAATAGGGGGTATACAGGGATGTGCAGAGAAAAGCAGAGTGCACAGGGTGAAAAGTGATGGCATTAAATCTAAAAACACATTAAACTGCCTGTAGGGACAGTGGGGAAGAAAAGCTGGTTTTAGGCAATACAGACACTGGAGTGGGGTGTCTGCAAGTCAGCCCTGCACTCCTGTGTCCACACAGGGAGAGCTCTGGGAAGGCGAGTCGGAAACTGGCTTGGACCCCACGTGCTGTGTGTCCTCTCAGGGATAAGAGATCCTTGAAGTGTGCACAGGGGTGAAGTTCAGCCCAGAGGTGACAGCTGATACACAGAACACCTCACTCAGCCATGTGAAGGAGCAACCAGCCTGTCTGCGTGCAATTACCGGTGGCCTCCCTTGCAAATCCTCTGCTCCTGGGTATCAATCTGGAGACATCAGCACCTTTTAATAATGCTGGAGTGCCGGGAGGGGATGAGAAATAGATTGTTTAACCTGCTTCTCTCTAAGTGTAGCAGTTCAATGAAGCTCTTTCCTCAGGGGTGAGCACCCACATGACACATCACAGACTGCCACCCCTGGGACCTGGCAGTGCCCAGGTGTGGCGCTGGGCTGTAGGCAGCTCCCAACCATCCCATGGGCTCTCCACAGGGTGGGAGTGCCGAGGGAAGGAAGATTCCGGAGGTGACAGCCTAGGGTAGTGCGGGTAGTGGGAACAGTGGGCTGCCTTTGCAGCCAAGGGGATGGACTGGGAGAGTGGGGTACTGAGGTAGGAGGTGCTCCCAGGGAAGGTGATGGGAAGTATGGCACTGCTCCTAACCTTCAGAAATGTTCATACCAATCACTGCTGTGATGATGCCAAATAGAGGAAGCAGGAAGGATTCATTGCAGGGTTGTTATTTGAGCTCTGGTAAGTTCTCCCTGTGAAGAGACAAAGAAGAAAAATAAAATGATAGCTCAGTCTGCCCCCTCCCATTGAAAATTCAATCCTCACTGTTGTCTCCTGCAGATCCAGGCTTATCACAATCCAGGGAATTTCCCTGAATTTATTCTTGCAGAGACATCAGCTTCTTTGGGAGTGATTTGGGATCAGGGTAGTTTTCCCAGTCCTCTTTTTGTCTGTTCCTTTCCACACCAAAGAGCTTGTCTGGCTGCTGATGTGAGCCTGGCCCTGTGCCATCAGCTCTTACCAGAGATCCAGCAGCGCTCATCTGCATCTCACATTCAGCAGCCCTTGAAAAGCCAGTCAGGCTCTCCTTTGGGAGCATCCTCACCTGAGCCTCTTCCCATCGGGCAGATGAAGGAAGAGGTTCCCTGCTCAGGCTCCTCTTCGCCTCTCACCCCTGGATCCATCTAGTCCTTCCAGAAATCTCGGCAGGACTTGGGATCGAGCCAAGTCAGACCTGGCAGAGCCAATTCTGTTGTTGCTGCAGGCAGTCACTGCTCCTTGTGATGCCCTGCAGGGCGATGCTTGTGAGGCCCTGTTAGACACTTTTTTTTCTCTCATAGAATCATAAAGGTCAGAAAAGCCCTCTAAGAACGAGGCTGACCATTCTCTCAGCACTGCCAAGCCCACTACTAAACTATGCCCCCAAGTGCCACATCCACACATCTTTTGAACACCTCCAGAGATGGTGATCCCACCACTACCCTGAGCAACCTGTTCCAATGCCTGACCACACTTTCCGTGAAGAAATTATTCCTAATCTCCAATCTAAATCTCGCCTGGCACAAGTTAAGGCCATTTTCTCTCATCCTGTCGCTTATTCCCTGGGAGCAGAGCCCAACCCCCACGTGGCTCCACCCTCCTGTCAGAAGGTCCCCCCGAGCCTCCTTTTCTCCAGGCTGAGCCCCCCTAGCTCCTTCAGCTGCTCCTCGTCAGACTTGTGCTCCAGACCCTTCCCCAGTTCCATTGCCTTTCTCTGGACACACTCCAGCCCCTCAATGTCTTTCTTGTTGTGAGGGGCCCAAAACTAACACCAGGATTTGAGGGGCCTCAACAGTGCCCAGCACGGGGGAGCGGTCACTGCCCTGGTCCTACTGGCCGCACTAGTGCTGGTACAAACCAGGTGCCACTGGCCTTCTTGAATCCCCCAACCCTGCTGCAATGACTTTGTCAGCTCTATAGCACTGGGACTCTGCTGGGCTTTCTCCTTTGCTCAGTGGTTCAAGCACTGATGCTCTGAGTTGCTGGGAGCTTCCTACATCCAGCTGGTCCTCTGCTCCTCCTACACAGAGGAGTGGATGGTGGTTAGTGCTCCAGAAACTGTCTGTTGGGTTTCTCCAATTCATGCCAAGTTAGCACAAAATGATCAAAGCAGCCAGTCAAAACTCTTTATTTTTCTCTCCAGATCATTGGTGACAGAGATTTTGATCACTTTGAAGGGAAGAGCTAATTAGCAACTCACTGAATTAAGTAAAAGGTGCAGGGTATGTATTGACTTTTTGCTGTTTTCAGGGCTGTCATGAGGATTGCTTATCCCAACACAATAATCGTTTCCATAGTGACTGAGGTACTTCGTAGGGGAAGAATTGGAGACACAAATAACAAAGACCAAATCTATAATGCAAAGAGTCATATGCAAACAGAATAAATCCTAGGCTTCATCATGGGCCGCCTCCAACACAATATGGGATGGCGTAAGGGGGATGCCAAAAGCAGAGAAGGGTGGGAAGGACCTGGGCCGGGCTAGGGGTTGAGTGGCTTGGTGCAAGGACCAGCCAGAATCTCTTCCAGGGAGTTCAGGTGTTGTTCCTGCAAGATATCTTGCTCAGCAACTACCACAGGCCTCCTTAACAGCATGGTAGTTTTAAAGCTAGCCCTGGATGTGAAGAAATAGCAGAATGTTTGGAAGATAAACAGGAATTGCATCTTCCCTTCACCACTGCTGTCAGATCATACCTGACTTCAGGTGAGTGTTCCACTAGGCCTTTCCTTTATTCTGGCTGTGAATCCTGTTCTTATAATCCTGAAATTCAGTGATCACACACATAAGAGCAAATTGCCTCCACCTTTCAGCATCCCCTGCCTGTTGACTCCTGAATTAGAGGCACTGCAGAGGAATGTGCCCAGAGCAGCCTGGCTCACAGCCTCTTGGCAGTGCTGCAGGCTCCAAACAGCTCTTACATCCCAGCCTTATGGAGCCCATTAACCACAAAGTGTGAAGAACAGGTTGGACAACCAGCCACCAGGGCTGGCCTGGATGTATTTATCCTCTGTAAGTGCAGAGAGGGGGATACTTTTACCTCTAAGTTGTCCACACCCCTGTAACAACCTATTTTACAACCTCTGCTCAACACGTCCTTGTTTTCTACACCACATTTCTGTCTTTATCTTTGTATAGAGAGCAGAGTAAATCTGGCTGGGGGAGAGGATTTCCCTGTGCAGCAGTCCAGCACAAACCTAAGGTCCCAGCTCAGCAGGAGACTGGTTTGCTGCCATGACTTGGTCCCAGCACCAGTGTGTCACTGTATGCCCCAATACGCATGCAGGTAACCAGAGAGCTAAGCCACGGGCTTTCAAGCATTAAACGAAGTTTATTTCGGAAACACAACTGCAAAACTCACAGCCAGGTGAAAAGAAAAAACACACCCCAAGCTGGGCTCTTTGTCATATCTATCAAAGGCTTGGGCATGCGCATACTGCCCTCTGGGCTGTTTTTTGCAGTTTCTTCCCTTTCTCTTCTCCCCTTCTGCCATCTGCAGTAATAATGGCCAGTCTTCGTGAGCGAAGATTTGGGAAAGGTCATTAACCCTTCGAACCTGCGCAGTGGATTTTTTAGGTGAGACACAGCGTGCGCTGAACTGAGCCCACCCTTTAATCCTGAGGTTCATCTGCCGGGGCCGAGCAAGCTTGGACAGTGGCAGTGAGGTCCCCAGGACGTAGGTTTGTTTAGAGTGACCTTCTCTTCGATGGATGGCCTTACAAGGCTGACGAGCTCCATCTGCCCGGGGGGCTGGGAATCGAACCCGAGTCGCAGCGGTGAGAGTGCTGCACCCTAACCACTAGACCGCAGTAAAGAATGCTTTGATTTAGCTTGCAAACATCTTCCTTGATAAGGGTTTGCCTGTTTTGTCTGTTGTGGTAGTTTGGTCTAGGCCTTCCTTGATGACCAGTTTGTAACCAAGGAAGGGCCCAGTATTCCCTAAGATTTTTACGTAAGCCAGGCTATAAGAAGAAAGGAGGAGAGGCCTTTGCTCTCTCTTTCTTTCCGACGGCTTGGAGGTGCAGGTTCCCTGCTGTTGAGTTTGTCGTGTTGGGGAGCGAGGCCTGGTAAGGCCTTGCTGACCTTGGGAGACGGAGGTTGCCGGCGATCGTCCCAGCGTGACTTTCCGTTGTCCCAAGGAGAGTAGTAAGATAGTCTTTTGCTAATTCTTTTAGTTGCTAGATCTTGGGCTACTGATAGGGATATATATATATATATATATATATATATATAATTTTGGTTTTGTTCCTTTTTTTCCCTTCCCCCTTACCTTTCCCTTTTCCTTGTGAAATTGTATATATATTTCAATTGTATATAACTGTAATATAAGTGTAAATATCTTTATATATATTGTTTTAGCTGTCTCTCTCTCGTTTACGTTTTCTTGGTTGTTTTTTTCCCTCTTCTCCCTGAGGTTTGGGCGGGGGGGGGTACTTCCTGTGGTAAGGTTTGGAGACTTGCAGGGAGCCAGCTTCAAACCATATCACTGTCCTGACAAAAAACAGCCTGAGGGAAAGAGAGAATGTCCCTATTCTCACACGTTCTTCCAAACTTAAGTTTCCCAGCCACAAAAGGTCTCTTGAGCCAAGAGAAATTTCCAAACCAGTTCATATCCTTTCCCATTTCTTGCACAGGGCTCCCCTCAACCCCCTACAGTCACCATGGAGCATCATAGCAAGCGAGAACTGGGCATGTGTCTCCAACCACAAATGCTGTACCAGGCACAGAAGGATTGCAGGTCCAGGTTACAGAGATCCCAGCATCTCCCTGGTAAAAGTCCTGTGCCAGCCTGATGTCAAAGTGTCTGGGATTCCCAGAATCATAGAATGGTTTGGGTTGGAAGGGATCTTAAAGACCATATCATTCCAACTCCCTGCCATGGGAAGGGACACCTTCCACTAGACCAGGTTGCTCCAAGCCCCCTCCAGCCTGGCCTTGAACACTTCTGGGGATGGGGCTAATTTGGTTCCTGCTGGATTTGGTTTATCTGGAATAAGGTCAGACAAGAGGCCTACACACATGTAACAAAGGCTGATCCCAGGTGACCTGAGTGCTGGAACCTATCAACATCTTATGACAAATAGAACCAGTCCCATAACCATGAAATATTCCTGCTCCACCACCTCCAGATTTGAAGCCTTAAGATGTACCCAGAGCTTCTCCCAGGCTTTCTGTATCAGAGTCAGCTGAAACATGGAAAAGATTTTGTACGAGTTGTTTAATAAACCAGACAGGTCAGAGCTGCTCCCCTGAAGTCCTCAGACACAGCTGCTGATGTGTTCACGGTAAGCACAGGGTTCTTGAGGCTGAAAGAACTGGGACTGTTCAGCCTGGAGAAGAGAAGGCTCCAGGGAGACCTTGGAGCACCTTCCAATGCCTGAAGGTTCCAAGAGAGCTCGAGAGGAACTTTGGACAAGGGCCTGGAGTGACAGGACAAGGGGGAATAGCTTCCCACTGCCAGAGGGCAGGGTTAGATTGGATATTGGGAAGAAATTAGTCCCTGTGAGGGTGGTGAGGCCCTGGCACAGGTTGCCCAGAGAAGCTGTGGCTGCCCCAAGCCTGGAAGTGTCCAAGGCCAGGTTGGACGGGGCTTGGAGCAACCTGGTCTAGTGGAAGGTGTCCCTGCTCATGGCAGGGGGGTGGAACTGGATGATGTTTAAGGTCATTTCCAACTCAAACCGTTCTGGGTTTCTACGATTCTTCTTGCTGGTAAGTTGCCTCCAACCCAGCAGCCACAGCGCTGTCTGGAACATGTGTGAAGTTTTTGGTGGCAGGGATGGTTGAGGGAAGGGATGAGGAAGGAGATGCTGTGCTGAATAAAAATGTGCAAACCAAGAGGGTTGATACTGGCAATTCCCTTCTGGCTCTGCAACCTGAGTACCACCAGCTGAAGACAAACAGTCCTGCTAGGTGTCAGACAGGCCCTGAGGTTCTGGGGCTGTGACAACCTCTGTGCTCTTGCTGACAGACTCTCCCCTTTCAGAGGTGTCCTGCTTAGGTACAAGCTGGCAAAGAGAATTCCATCCCCTGTTGTTTGTTCTTTTCTCTGGAAAAAAGGACCTAAAAGTGCCACCACAGCTCCAGGACTGTAGCGCTGGCTCTTGCTTGGCAGCAGCTCTGTCCCTGCATCCCCAGCCTCCCTGCAGAGTGTGCAGTGTTACAAAACACACCTCCTGCCTGCTCAAGTGCCTCTGCCTCCTGCAAATATCCCTGAGGTCTCTTACATAAGCCAGTGCTGGTTTGCTGAGGCAGAAGATTTGCAAGAAATATGAGAAATAGCATCACTGCTGCCCTAGGTAAACTCAAACCCTCATGTTTGGGGCAGCAGGAAAAAGGAGAGGCAGATTAGGATGGATGAGTCTCAGTTGTGAGCCTCTCTGCCAGAGCCATGAGCTGCCCCATTCTCCCTCTCCCAGCCCATACCTGCTTGCTCCTCTGGACCCCTAAACTCCCCCACAGCTCCACTCCTGACTTTCCTCACTGGCCTTCATGACTCTGGCTCTCCTGGGTCTCAGCCTCTCTGTTCAGGAGATGGGACTGCAGCTGCCCACAGCTGGATCAAGCCAGTACTCTCCTGTGCCAGAGCACCTCGACAGCGATGCATTGCCTGTACACCACGGGACATGAGGCCTTTCCATACTCATCTCCCACATCGGAGTACTGCACCGAGCAGTGATGCACCAGAAAAGTGCTGGCTTGTACCCAGGGTGTCACAGGGACTCAGAGAGTGATGGCCGCAGCTGGCTGCTAGTTGCTGTTACCCTCATTTTAATTTTGACTGTATATATTGCTTTCCTCTGTAGGAAAAAAACTCAAGAGAAAAATATATGCTGCTTCTCATGGGCACCCTTTTTGCTCTCCAGCATTTTTCACTTGATACAACCCCAGATGTGGTTCTCCTATGTCCAGAGCCACATCAAGCCTGGGGGACAAGGGAAGAAGTGAGTTCAAGCTCAATTACTTCATCTGCTTATTCTGGTCATTCTTCTCCAGGCCACTGCGCAGAGCATCTACTGAGGACTGAGAGCAAATACAACACAGCATGAGATTTTGGGCAAGACAGATGGTTCAGGCATGATTTCCTGCAAATCTTACCTTTGGCACAGCCAGGTAGGTCAGAATTTCCAAAAGGAGTCACTGAAGCAAGCTAACTCATTCAACTGAAAGGGGGGTCAGGCACTGGCACAGGTTGCCCAGGGCAATGGTGGAGTCACCATCCCTGGAAGTGTTCCAAAAGGCATGTGGATGTGGCACTTGGGGACATGGTTTAGTGGTGGTTTTGGCAGTGCTGGGGGAATGGTTGGACTCCATGATCTTAGAGGGCTTTTCCAACTCTGATGATTCCATGATTCTACGCGCAAAGGAGTTTCGAGTTTTTTTGGCCTGGACAACTGGGCAATCAGTTGTCAGGACTGGTTAAACTCTTGATGAACTTTCCTACAGGAGTATAACATGTCTGCTGATGGGACAAGCTCAATGGCTGTGCCCTCCATGGGGAGTGACCCACCTGTATGGGGTTGGGGTGCATCAGCGGGCACGGGGGCCTTCCTGGTCACCTGACGGACACAGCAAATTTGGAAGAGCATCCCCTGGTGCAGCTGGCTGTGTTTGCCAGCACATTGCAAAACAGAGGCTTCAAGGTTGGATAAATGTCATCATCCCAGATCCTGTGATGGTGCTTTTACTACAGAAAAATCTTTAACTGCAGGCTATCAAATTCCCTCTTGCTATTTCTGGGGTCAGACATATTCAAGCAACTCCTTTCTTTTAGAAACCTGTGGGGATTTGTTTATGAAAGGTGGGATCATTACTCCTGCTAAAAGGCCTGCCTGGAATGAAGGGCACCTTGGCAGCATTGCAGCCACATGTCTGGGCTCCACATGGGGCTTTAGGGCTGGAGCATCTTCAGTATGGGGCCAAACCAGAGCTCCCACCCCACTGGTCAACTGGAACACAAAGCTTTCCTTGAAACCCTGGTGACAAAAGACTTTTGGCTTTCTCATCTCCCAGCACTTCCAAGTTTGACAGTGATGTGCAGTCCCTCCACTGCTCTGACCTGCAGCTGATGCCACGGGGCTGATTCAGACTTGTTGCTGTGTCACTTGCATTTTCTTTTTTTTCCTCATGTTGACAGTCTCTCCCTCCCCAGTCCCTATGATAAGAAATGAACTATTGATTTGTACATGGTGCTTGGCATTTCTGGGAGAGAACAGTCTCCTGGCCTTCACTGCAGATGGGAGTAATCAGGATTAAATGTTGTAGCTGATGCTGGATCTGGGGCTGGCTGGGACCTGAGCAGGAGTTCAGCCCAAAGGGCAGATTCCCTGTAGCTCATGGCTACAGAGCACTGTGAGCCCTGCCTGCCCCTCCAGGGCTGTGGGAGCTGCGTCCACAGGTTTAGTGGAAGAGGTGACTGAGGAGAGTGGCTCGTGCAAAGGTTTCCACCTGCCTGTGCCACGGGCTGTAATGGTCTTGTGCTTTGATCACCGGGAAGCACGACCTCTTGCTCAAGTGTGTCCTTTGTGTCCCTGTTCTCCTGGAACTTGGCTGTCCAAGGGGAGTCCAGCGCCTTGGGATGACAGTGAATCTTCTCTTTGGACGGACCTTGGACCATGCACCCTGTGGTGTCATGAGCCCCTTTCCCACAGTCTGACACCTGGTATTTGATGTAAGGACCTCCTGGCACAGGGAGCTCTGCAGGTTAACTATCCTCTGGGTAAGGAAACAGTTTGACTCTTTCCAGCTTTCCTGGTCGTTGTCTCCATGCAGCCCTTGAGAGCACAGGACTTGCTCTTCCAGTGATGACCATGAGATTTTCAATGTAATCTACTTTCCTGCTCCCGTTTCCCCACCTCCTTTCTCCCCCACTGATTTTTATTGCAACAAAATTATTTTTTCCTTTTCCCACCCTCCTATCTCAGAGACTGGCTGCTCCCCTCACCTCAGTGGGCCACTGCACAGCTCTGGGCTTGGGAGGAGGTGAGCTGCAGGGCTTGGGTTCTCTTCTGGGCTTTCCGTCCTTTGGATACAGAGTCCAGAGCTCTCCATCCTCATCTCCTCATCCAGACAGGAACCTGCCAGAGTTCAAGGAGTGTTTGGACAGTATTATCAAGCATATAGTGGGATTTTTGGTGTTGCCCTGTGCAGGGCCAGGAGCTGGACTTGATTGTGGGTCCCTTCCAACTCAGGATATTCTGTGATTTTATGAACCTGGCCTTTGCAGACCCCACGGAGAGCCTTTAGCATCCACTCGTGGGGAAGCTCTGCTCTCAGGAGACATTGTGTGGTCTTCCACCCTGCAGAGCATCCAGCTGTGATTCAGGCAGAGGAGGTGGGAGAAGTGTGTTTTTCCCCGAATTGGGACAGCATTCGAGAGTTGGTGGCCTTGGTAGGCAAATGACTCACGAGTTTCCCCGACCTGCCAGAGACAGACCTGCCAGAGACAGACCATGACTTTGATCCATAGGATTTCTCCAGGGTACTGGGGAGCTTCAGTTCACCAGGATGCAGAGGGTGGGTGCTTGGAGTGCCTTCCTGAGCAGGAAGGTACTTGAGGAGCAGCCAATTGACTCAGTATAATGAACCTTAAATACTTTCCTTGTCATCCCCCTCTTCTAGCTGCTGCCTGGGTCTTTGTGCTTAGCCCTGCTTCCAGGTTTCCATAGGCATTCACTCCTCTCTTAGCTTCTGTGATTGCTTATAATTCTTGTTTAAATTCTTCTCATTTTCACGGTGTAATTAGGAAGACGAGGGGCTTTTGTTCGGCAGTCAAAAAGCAATTAGCTGTGCTTTTTGCTTGATGATTGTTTTTTAATTAGGATTTTGTCGATGGCTTTTGTCCTCAGCAGAAAATAAGGGGTGAAGGGTTTATCGGTTGCAGCTGCTGCCCAGGGCAAAAGGGACTCCCTGCCTGCTCCCTGTCTGTGCCTTACCTGCTCCCTGCCGGCACCCTGCTTGCCTGGCTAGGTGGCAGGACCTGGGGAGGTGGCCCAGAGATGCCCCTGCCACATTCCCATCCCCTGCCTGCTGTAACCAGGGACCTTTCACGTGCTCTCAGGGTTGAGGTAACTTGCAAAAGTTTTCCATAGGTAAGGGTTTGCCCATGCCCACTTTTCCTTCTTTAGGATGCCAATATGTGATTGAAAGTATTCCCTGTCTCTTTCCTACGCCTTTCCAGGGCAGGGGCACCTGCAGCACCCTATGCAGCAGGGTGGTCCCTGTCCTCACTCCCAGCTGTCACAGCCATGTCCCAGCTATCGAGCACCCATCCCAAGGTGTCTGTGCACAGCCTGCCCTGGGCAGTCAGTGCCAGCATGGCTGAGGCTGGAGATCTGTGCAGGACGAATGCTGGGGTTAGGCAGCTCAGAGAATCACAGAACGTCCTGAGGTGGAAGGGACCCACAAGGATCATTAACTCCAGCTCCTGGCCCTGCATATGACAAACCCAATAATCCCACCATGTGCCTCAGAGTGTTGTCCAGTTATTGGTTGTCATGGTGGTCACTGCTTGTTGTGATGCCCTACAGAGAGATGCTAATGGGGCTCTGCTACATGCTTCTTTTTCTCTCATAGAATCATAAAATTGTTTAGGCTGGAAAAGCCCTCTAAGATCATTGAGGCCAACCATTCCCCCAGCACTGCTAAACTGACCTCTAAACCATGTCCCCAGGGCATGTGGATGTACCACATCCACACGCCTTTTGAACACCTCCAGGCATGGCGACTCCACCACTGCCCTGGGCAGCCTGTTACAGTGTTTGATTCCCCTTTCTGTGAAGAAATTTTCCCTGCTATCCATTCTAAACTTCTCCTGCCACAACCTGAGGCTGTTTCCTCTTATCCTGTTGCATGTTATCTGTGAGAATAGCCTGACCCCCACATTGCTACAATCTCCTTTCAGGCAACTGTAGAGAATGAGAAGGTCCTCCCTGAGCCTCCTTTTCTCCAGGCAGAGCTCCCCACAGCTCTCTCAGCCTATCCTCATCAGACTTGTGCTCCAGACCCTGGGATCACCCTGCTTGGATAAGCCCTTCTGGCTGGTCAAGGTTTAAGTAGCTCAGCAGCTTTCCTTAGGAAAATGGAGCACTCCCCAGTCCTGTCTCTATTCCTGCAGAGCAGACAGTCCCTTTTCCTCTCTGTGTCCTGGATGAGTGTGGGACAAAGACACTGCATCTCATATCATCTCATCTCATCATGTCTTTTGGGATTGCATGTAAATCACAACAAATATTCCTGTGAGCAGATCCCTCATCAGCAACAGATGTATTTTTAATACATGACCCCAACCAATTATTGAGGCTAACCCACTGCTTTAGGCCCTTTCTTTTTTTGCACCCTTCACCTTTGCTTAAATTCTGCCTTCCTATTGGCTCTGAGGAATGGCCTCGTGTCCCATCCATCACTGCATGACTAGGCAGCTCCATGATCCCAATGCTCAGACAGACCTGGAGGGGACCCTTATGGCAGCTCGATCGATGCTGTGAATCCATGTGCCATAACATCCCATCCTGGCCCTCCAGTCCCTTTCTGCCAGCTCTTTGGGGTTTTGTTGCCCTGCTCAGGGTGCACAGGAGCTGCTAGCTCTGCACCACTGCCCTGTGTCCCTTCTTCCAGCTCCTGCAGTCCCACAGGAAGCTGAGAGGAGATGATGGATAGGAGCTGAATAGAGAGGGCAGTACTGTGTGGATGGGCTGGCATCGGGCTGGCATTGGGGCTTGCACAGCAGGACACTGGGGACAGCGACAGGGTCTCACAGCTGCTGGGAGCCCTGTGCAGTGGCAAGGGAAGAGGTAACTCCGTGGGTGGCTGTGGCAGGGGGGATGATGTGGTGGGGAGCAGGAATGAGGATGAGCTCATTCCTCATACTGGAGTGGGGCTTGGCCTGCTCTCCCTGCTTTGGGTGATATCCAGGAGGAAGGTGGCCACAGACTGTCCTGGCTGATGGCCAGTCTCCAGAGCACCGGTACCCAGTGTGCCTCCACCACCCTCCCCGCATCTGGGCAGGGCTGGGGCTGCCTCAGGACACTCAGCAGTGGTGGTGGATATTTGCAGTGTAGGTGTGGGCATCGATAGAGCGTTTTGTAGCTGTATCTTAAAGCATTTGGTGACAAAAAAAATAGAGGGTGCCCAGCAACTCCCCAGGAACAGCAGTGGGTGCTGGTGTCTTTTCACCTGAGCCCTCTGGCACACACACGTGCCTAGTTCTGCCCACAGCTTCTCTCACTTCATCATCAGCACAGCTGACAGTGAGAGACAGTTCTGGATTTTCCCAAGGTAGCTGGATGATGGGAGCTGTTTCATCTGCCAACAACAGTACAACCCTGCTACTAAACCTGCCTTCCCCCAGGAGGCTGCTGGCAGTAGCTGAATATTCCCCTTGGGGAGCACTGTCAATGCTGTTAGAGGGGACAGAAAACCAGAGGTGTTGTGCCTACATTGATTTTTCTGCACGTTAAATGCTAAGTGAGGCAGATTGGGGGCTGATTCTGTTGGAAGATGCAAGACAATGCTGTGTTTAAATCCTGTCAGGGGAACCCAGCAGGTGTCGTGGCAGGCAGGGCACAACCACAGCACACCTGGCACCACCTGACAAGGTGGGACAGTCACTCTCACCACTGGGTTCCAGGGTCTTGGCAGACACGCTGCCAGTGGAGACAGAGAGGTGACGCTTCCATGCCAAACAATCCTGCCCTTTGGCTTTGTTATTTTTTTTTTTCCTCTTTTTCAGGTTTGTCAGATAATGGCGGTGACCATGAGTTGAATCTTCAATTTAGTGCTTTGACCAGCAGGTACTTTCCGATTGAGATTATTTGCATGGAATAACACGAAGCTCCATCAGCAGAGCAGCTCTCCTGGAAAATAATGACATCTTCAGCTGTGTGGGAGCCAGGACAAAGCCCACTCCCCGCTTGTAATCCACTGGAAGCCACTCAGTAGCACTTGAGCAAGGTCTAAGGGGGCAGGGCTGTGTGCCAGGCCTCTCCCTTGCAGCCAAGGCATTATGCATTATGTAACAAAAGGTGTCAGGCTGGCTTTTTGCACTGGCTGAAAGCAAAATCACAACCATTTGAAGCAGGCTCTTTGGAAACTAAAATTATCTTCACATCATATTTCTTCTCCAGTAATGCCGGCATTACATTTTTTCAAATTCTGAGTCAGACATCAGGAAAAAGAGTAAAAATGTAATAGGCTCAAATATCACAGAATCATTCATGTTGGAAAGACCTCTAAGACCATCACATCCAACCATTAAACCAGCACTGCTGTGTTCACCACATCCCCAAGTGCCATATCCACATGCCTTTTGAACACTTCTAGAGATGGTGAACACTTCCAGAGTTCGTAAAATATTTTACAATATCCAGGGATATGATAAAATTTAGAAAAAGCTGATGGTGTCATGTTGGTTTTCTCTTTTCTGCTGTCTCTAAGCCTCTAATACACTCTGAAGCCAAGGTTTGGGGTGCGGGTTCGCAAGGAGCTACAGGAATTTCCTCTTCCTTTATGTTTTAAGAGACTAAACTGCTTAGGTGCTCATGGTCATCCTTTACCCTGGCAATCGCTGCCGCATTCTCCGGCTGGGGCTATGTGTGGGAACCCTTCATTCCCCATTTCCTGAGATATTCCCTGTCGAAGCTGCAAGTCCTCAGCTTTATGACCACGGGCTGAATGGAAAATAAAGAAAAATAACCATACCTGTTCCTGGATGCTGGCACTGGCAAGAGCAGGGTGGGTGGGAATCTCCCCTCCTGGGGCCTTTACCTGTGCCGGGAGGCAGCAGCCAGTTATACCCTTGCTCCCCAGGGTGCTGGAGCAGTGGGTGCCGCTGGTGCTGCCTGTGGTGGGGACTGGGGACATGGCAGAGGTACTCCTTCCCCCAGTGCTGCCTCCTGAGCCAGGACCACGTCAGCCTCCCTGACCTCAATGTTCTGAAAAATACATTTGTGGTATTAAGAGCCTCAAAAATGGCCAAGAGACAGAGAAGTTAAGCAAAACTTTTATTCGAATAAAAGGGAGAGTTCACTAGACAATCCCCAGTGAGGTCTCTCAACTCGATCGAGGTCACAGCCTCTTTTATCCCCTCTGCCCAAAATGCAGGTCCCTCCCTGGTTCCCCATTGACTGAGGTACTCAGGGGTTACAGCCTTCCTGACACTTCTACAATGTGTCCCCTATTCCATGGTCATTAGAGGAAGGGTCTCCAGCATTTTCAAAAGAGAGGTTGCTGGTCCTTTTCTGCTGATAGATCCCCTTGTTTCTGGGCAAACTGCACCTCTCTGTAACTGACAACTGAACAACCATTGACTTCTCACTTCCCACCACCAAATGCAGCCACACTACAAATTTTGCAAGAACACCTATTTATTCCTAATATCAATGTACCAGGGCAGCTGGTTCCTCACATCCAGCGTCTTCTCATGGAAACATCTGCCCGTCTGCCCACTCCTCTGTACTGCTCCCTCTCATATGGGAGCCCCCCAAAACTCTGCCCTCCCCACCCCCACCAGAGCAGCCTCTGATGGACGCAGCAGGGCCTAGTTGGAGGTCACAAAAAATCAGACTTGCTTCTTTATTTGCACAAAGACATGGAAGAAATTATAGTGACTCTATCTTTTCCAGAACTAGTTTGCTGACCATCAGCTGTGGCAGCTGCATAGGACAGCTTTGACCCACATGTGCAGCAATAGCGATTCAGGTGGGTTGTTTATAGGCCATAACAACTTTTAATCAGCTCCAGGAGCTGTGGATGAACCGTGTCTGGCTAATGATGTCATACTGAGGTGGTTTTGGGGTTACTTTTGCTCTTTTCCTGTTAAAAATGAGAAGGAAAATGATATGATTGGAAGTGCCAGGCTTTGTGTGGCGTGGGCGGGATGCCTGTGATTCCTCAGCCAGAGGGAAGCAATGCTGTTGAGCAGCTCTCCAAAGGCAAACAAGCTGGAAACACGGGGTTTGGACAGCACACATGAGGGTTACAGACTGGCACATCCACCTCATTGGCTTTTATTACAGCCTCCAAACATGTGCCCAGGCATTCAGCCCCTGCTGCTGCAGCTGGTGCCTGGCCTCCTGTGACTGTCACTGGTCCTGTGACTGTCACTGCTGTCACTGCTGCCACTTCTGCTGCCAGTGCTGCTGCTGCTGTGACTGTCAGTGCTGCTACTGCTGCCACTGCTGCTGCTGCTGTGACTTTCACTGCTTCCTCTGCTGCCTCTGCTGCCACTGCTGCTGCTGCTGCCAAGTGACCTCAAGCTCTGTTGCCCCTCTACCCCAAGCTGCCCTCCCACCTCCTCTCACCATTCCCACCATGAATTGGAGACCCTTTTTCCTGGTGTTTTTCATATTGCAATGAGACCAAAAGGCCCCTCATGTGCTGTGCAGAGAAATGGTTGGTTTGGGAAGAACAGTGATTTTAGGAAAATGAAGGAATGGCCAGAGAAGTGATGTGATTTCATCTGGCACCGGTGGTTGAATGTGCCCCTGCCTTAAGGGCAGGACCCACTGGCAAGTGCCAACCAGCACCTGTGAGGCAGCAGCACTCAGTGCCACCCCCATGGGGCAGTCACCTCCTCTGCTTGCCCACATCTGTACAGCACAGCTGCAGGGAGCACAGTGCAGCCCCCTCTCCCTCACCTCTCCCTCAAGGCACAGGAGAACCCCTCAAGCCATTTCAAGGCCTGAGGTAACCCAACCCGTACAGGGGGAATATTTTCCTCTGTGACATTTCTCTGGAAGATATTTCACTGAAATCAGACTTTCTCTATGAATTGTTGATGTCAGTGACCTGTGGTTTTGAGAAAAGTTCCTAAAAATCCTTCCTTTCAAGCACATTTTTATTCCAAGAGCATATTTTCTATTTTGAATAATATAATAATGTAACATTTTAAAATATTGGAAGAAAGTGTACCAAGTTTTTTAGAATATACAGTTCCAAATTTATTTTTTTTTGGGGGGGGGGGTGAAAATACAAATGTGCCTTTTTTTTTTCCTTTTACCAGGATGCCTTAGGAAGAATTTCAAGTGAATTTCCAGACTTTTCTGGAAAATGCTCATCCTGCTTCCCTCTCTCCTCTGGCTTCAGGTGGGAAATCTCTGGACTTCTCCTTGTTGCAGGTTGCTGCCACATTTCAGAGACTGATCACTGGGTCCCTGTGCACAGGTTGAATGTCGTGTGTACCCAGCAGTGATGATGTACGGTCCCTGTCCAGGTGACAGTCCGCTTCCTTTGGGTGTTTCCACAAGGCTCTTGGCAGGTTTTCTATGGCTCACAGGCCTCGTGGCAGATGTCCATCACTGTCCTCTCCGATGTCCATCATTTTCAAGGGTGGCAGTATCATCATGGCTGGGCTTCGCGAACAAAGATTTGGGAAGGCTCTATCCACATTTGTTACAGGCATGTTGGTGGCTTATGAGGCCAATACGAGAGAGACATATCCGATTGCAAAAGGCACAGCAGAAGGACTCCTTAGATGGTATATTCTGCAAGACACAGTTTTTTCTGCATTGCCTTTTCTCCTCGAGAGTGATCCTGTGTATGTTCTCAAAGGAGACAGCTGCGTTATAGATGGCGTGTCTCCAGGCCTCCCAGTTGGAGGCCAGAGTAGACCAGTTATGGTGATCAATATGACCAAGGCTGAAATGTTGTTTCAGGGAGTCCTTGTATCTTTTCTTCGAGGCTCCTCTCATGCGGCAGCCAGTGGCAAGTTCACCATAAAGCAGGATCTTAGGGAGGCAGTGGTCCTTCATCCTGGAAACGTGCCCTGCCCATTGCAGCTGTGTTCTCATCAGCATGGCCTCTTATACTTGTGACTGCTGCTTGTTCTAGAACAGATGTATTGGTCGCAAAATCTGACCAGTGGATGTTCAGGATTGTACGGAGGCAGCGTTGATGGAAGCATTCGAGGAGACGCAGGTGGTGGTGGTAGATGACCCATGATTCGGAACCATACAGGAGAGTAGACAGCACTATGGCTCTGTAAACACTGATCTTGGTACTTTTCTTCAAGTGTTTATTACGCCATACCCTTTTGTGGAGTTTTCCAAAAGCACTGTATGCCTTTGCTAACCTGTTGTCCATCTCTCTGTCAATCTTACCATCCGAGGAGATGAGGCTACCTAGGTAATTAAACTGCTGGACTGTTTTGAGCTCTGATTGGCCAATGGTGATGTGGGGATGATGGGGGACTTCCTGAGGTGCAGGTTGATGGAGGACCTCTGTCTTCTTCAAGCTGACTTCCAGCCCAAAGAGCTCAGCAGCATCTGCAAAGCAGGATGTTAAACGCTGCAGGGCTGCTTCTGTGTGGGCAACAAGGGCGGCGTCATCAGCATAAAGCAGCTCCCAGACAAGATGGTTTAAGGTCTTGGTGTGGGCCTTCAGTCGCCTTAGGTTGAATAGACTTCCATCAGTACGGTATCGAATGTAGATACCGTCCTGATCATCGAGGTCTGCCGTGGCCCTTTGGAGCATCATGCTAAAAAAGACTGTGAATAGGGTAGGAGCGAGAACGCAGCCTTGTTTCACACCATTCTTAATTAAAAAGGGCTCAGAAAGTGTGTTGCCATATCTGACTTGGCTGTGCTGATCCTCATGGAGTGAGATGATCATTTTAAGGAACTTGGGGGGACAACCTAAATGTTCCAAAATCTGCCACAGACCTTTTCTGCTCACAGTATCAAAAGCCTTGGTGAGGTCGACAAAGGTTACATAGAGACCTTTGTTCTGTTCCCTACACTTCTCTTGCAGTTGTCTGAGAACAAATACCATGTCTGTGGTACTCCTGTTGGCTCTGAAACCACACTGACTTTCGGGTAGGATTCCTTCTGCTGTAGTGGGTATTAGTCTGTTCAAGAGTATTCTTGCCAGGATTTTGCCAGCAATGGGGAGCAGAGTAATACCACGGTAGTTTGAGCAATCTGATTTAATTCCTTTCTTCTTATACAAAGTGATGATGACTGCATCATGAAGGTCTGATGGTAGTTCGCCGAGTTCCCAACAGCGCACCACAAACTCGTGAAATTTGGTGTGGAGTGCAAGGTCCCCATGTTTCCAGACTTCGGGTGGAATTCCATCAACCCCAGCTGCCTTGCCGATTTTCACCTGCTGTATGGCCTTGAGGGTTTCTCCTAAAGTGGGGGCAGTATCCAATTCATACTTTACTGGTTGTTGTGTGATGGACTGAATTGCTGAGTCTTGGACTACACGGTTGGTACTGAAAAGAGTCTGAAAGTGATCAGACCATCGATTCAGAATGGAGGTTTTATCTGTCAGAAGCGTTTGCCCATCAGCACTGAGTAGAGGGCTTTGGACCTGCTGTGTAGGTCCATATGCTGTTTTCAAGGCCTCATAGAATCCTTTGTGATCACCTGTATCTGCGCATAATTGAGTTTTTTCAGCTAGATCGATCCACCACTTGTTCTGGATGTCACGGAGTTTCTGTTGGAGCTTGCTGCATGTGAGACGAAAGGCTTTTTTTCTTGCATAACAGGATAGCAGTGCAAGATGTGCTTGGTGGGTGGTTCTCTTCTTCCTCAGCAAGTCCTGGATTTCTTGATTGTTTTCGTCAAACCAGTCCTTGTTCTTCTTGAGGGAGAACCCTAAGGATTCTTCAAAGGATTGCAGGATGCTGTTTTTAATATGGTGCCAAATTGTTTCAGGAGAGGAATCTGCAGAATCTGTGTAATGGTTTTCAAGCCTAGTTTGAAGGTTTGCCTGGAATCTGTCTCTTACTGTGGCTGACTGGAGATTGTTAACTTGGAGTCTTCTCCTTGGGATACTGCCCCTTTTAGGTTTGAATTTCAGATTGAAGTTGAGTTTACAGCGCACCAGTCGATGGTCTGTTTGGCATTCTGCACTGGGCATCACGCGGGTATGGTGGACATCGCGAACATCTCTCCGTCGTACCAGGACATAATCGATGAGGTGCCAATGCTTAGATCTGGGGTGCATCCAGGTTGTCTTCAGACTATCTTTCTGCTGAAAGATAGTATTAGTGATGGTGAGCTGTTGCTCCACACAGAATTCTAGCAGTTTCCAACACCATGCTTGCCTAATATTCCTTTCCAGGCTTCAAAATTCTTGCCTACTCTGGCGTCGAAATCACCAAGGATAATGATCTTATCATCTGCAGGCACCTTTTGGGTAAGGCGGTGCAGGTCAGCGTAAAATTTATCTTTTTCGGCAGGGTCAGCTTGGAGAGTTGGGGTATATATACTAAAGACGACAACGTGTTGTTTGTTGTGGAGTGGAAGGCGTAGGGAGATAATGCGGTCAGAGGGACCTGTCAGCAGATTTTCGAGTTTGGGAAGAATAGAGTTTTTGATCATGAAGCCGACACCTGAGAGATGTTTTTCGGTTCTGGGCTTACCTGACCAAAAGAGGGTGTAACCAGCAGCATGTTCTCTGAGGCTGCCTTCTTCATGAAGGTGAACTTCACTGAGAGCAGCTATGTCAATGTTAAGACGAGCCAGTTCATGGGTGATTAGGGCAGAACGACGCTCAGGACATCCACTATCTGCAGAATCGAGCATGATTCTGATATTCCAACAAGCTAATTTAGGTACACCTTTGGAGGCAGGTGCATGCCTTTGTCTTTTGATCTTTGTGCGACTGCATTGGAAGAAGATGCCCGTTGGCCTGTGGTTAACCAACCGGGTGAAGGTGGAGATGAGCTTTGTTTAGGCCACCTTTTCTAGGCCCCTCTCCGAGTGGAGCAAGTAGTGCTGTCCTTGAAAAAGCTGCTTGGTCGTTCAGGGTGCTGCCCCAAAAGACTGTCATCTCCGGTCAGTCTCAAATGACCAATATCCTGAACCGCCCGCATGCAGGGTTGGGTCTGCGGCTTCCAGTGCACCTTTCACCTCCTGTTTCGACCCTCGCCCATCGCTACAGGGCTTTTTGCTTGTGGGTAAAGCCTTCAAGCCTGTGCAATGGATTTTTTAGGTGAGATGCAGTGTGCGCAGAACTGAACCCACCCTTTAATCCTAAGGTTCATCTGCCAGGATCGAGCGAGCTTGGACAGTGGCAGTGAGGTCCTCAGGATGTAGGTTTGATTAGAGTGACCTTCTCTTAGATGGATGGCCTTACAGGGCTAAGCGAGCTCCATCTGCCTGGGTTTGGGATTAGAGTTGTCCTTCTCCTAGGATGATTGCCAGAAGGCTAACGAGCTCATCCTGCCCAAGGATGTATTGTATCTGGCCCTGCGGTTTTGACCTGTCTGGCATGGGTGACCCTACTGAAGGCATGTACCATCGCCAGCATAGCTCACAACCGCATAGGATTACACAGGCTACGCTCCTACTATTAAAACGATTAGGGCAAGTCTTACACTTCCTACTATTCTGCCACCTGTCTATATTCAATCCAAGGGAAACATCTGGGGAAACACCCAGGGAAACACCCTTTGTCCTGACCACCCTTTCAGGATGTAACAAATATAACCAGAACATACTGAACCTGGGCAGTAGCCACAGGTGAGCCAAAAACAGACAAATGAACAAAACTGTTCTGGCCACCGTACCCACCTAGGGCTTGAGTACCTCTCCAGGCATGAGCCTGGCTGAGATCCTCAACCCCCAGAGGAAACCATTGTCCACCCTGACCTTATCCTCCCCCCATCGTGTTACCACATATCTTCCCACGCACCGCTTACCTGCCCAGCCTCCAGTCCGAGGACACCCACAGCCTGCCCGGTACCCTTTCCCTCCCCCGCCCCCTCCTCTCCCCCCAAAACAGAGCGGCAAACCTCTGTGTGCTCCGAGGCTTCCACTCTCCTCTCTCTCTCCTTTCTCACGAGGGCACAAAGCCACACTGGCGAAGCTCCCTCTCCCCATTCCCCGCTGGGGGTGAGGGGCCTGGGGGCAGGGCGGCCCCGGGGGCGGGCCCCCGCAGGCCCGGGGGCGGGGCGGCCCCGCGGAGCCGCACGGGCTTCCGGGGGGGGTGGTGGTGCCGGAGGCGCGCGGGCTTCCCAAGGGTGGCAGTGAGGGCTGAAGAAACAGCGCTGGGTGCTGGGGCAGGTCCCTGCCTCTCGGGAAGAGCATCCTTCCACTCCAGGGATTTGCCCATTAGTTACCCACACCTCCCTTATGCTGAAGAAGAAACCAGGAGGTATGACACTGGCTTTCGAGCCCTTCCTGTGCCTGTCTGATTTTCCTCAGCCCCTTTGACTGTGTTTGCATCTCTCCTATGTGGTAAAATTATCATATCAAAGGGAGCTCAAGCTCCCTCCACACTCCTGATGCTGCCTGGGCACTTTGGAAAGAGGTAACTCCTGCTCTCCCTCTAGACATGGCAATTAAATCTTTCATTAGCTGCTTCCATTCTCCTTTGATAGGGACAGATGAACTTGGACATAAGAACTGTGTTTCAGTATCACAATCCCAGCTCATCTTTACAAGAGCCCAGAACAAAAAGGGGAAGGGAAGGTGATCTGTGCTGCTCCTTGGAGACTGGTTAACATCTACCTACCAGCACGAAGAGGCTTTCGAAACTCTGGGAGTACCTCACCTAAAGCATCAAGTCCTGAGTAAATCATGGAATCGCTGAGGTTGGAAAAGCCCTCGACTATCATCAGGTTCAATCATTAACCCAGCACTGCCAAGACCACCACTAAACCTGGTCCCTAAGTGCCACATCCGTATGGTTTGTGAACACTTCCAGTGTGAGGTAAGATACGCACAGGTACCCCCAAAAATGCCAACGCAGTGTAAAGAATCCAAACAGGTTTATTCTGAAGTCGAGAACACTAAAAAACTTACAAAGGAAAGCTGCACCAGCTGCAAACAGTGCTGGGCCTGAGAAGGCATGTCTCCTGTTCCTTCTTCAGGCTTTTTTATTGCTGCCCCCCCGGCTCTCTCTGGGCCGTGGTGGCCCTGTAACATATCCGTGAACGTTATCTCTCTCCTCACGTATCAGAGAGAGAATCTCTCTGTAATGGAGGAGAGAGAACAGCAACTGTCTTGAGAAAGTGGCAGGAAACCTTTTCCTAAGCAAAATAACTGATTCCTCATAGTAAAATCTTCTAGAAAAAGGGCATTTACCCCTATATCCAGGAATGGTAACTCTACCACTGCCCTGGGCAGCCTGTGCCACTGCCTTACCACCCTCTCCATGAAGAAATTTTCCCTAATCCCCAACCTAAACCTCCTCTGGTACAACCTGAGGCCGTTTCCTCTCATCTTGTCACTTGTTACCAGGGAGAAGAGCCCAACATCCACCGAACTCCCTGAGCCTCCTTTTCTCCAGGCTGAGATCCCCTGCTCCCTCAGCTGCTCTTCATCAGACTTGTGCTCCAGACCCTTCCCCAACTCCATTCCCTTCTCTGGGCATGTTCAATGTCTTTCTTTTTGTGCAGGGCCCAAATGATGTGGCCAGCCACCTTCTCCTGTCTGCTGAGGCAGCTTCTCCTACCAAGACTTCCTTTTAAAATGACAATTTATTGATCTTCCTGCCTGAACTTTCTCCTTAGCTCTCAGCATTTAGCATGGCCCTCAGAGGGCCCAGTCCCTGAGGGGATGGGCTCTGGATGACAGATCTGAGTGGCCATGGTCACTGCTTTGCTTTGGCCAGATACAGTTGCAGTTGGTGTGTGCCAGGTTTGTCTGACACTGAAGATGAGGCAGAGAGGGAGACTTCAGCCAGTTGCGGTTTGGGGACCCAGATCAAGAGGCACCCATGATCTCAGGCCTTACTTAAAACATAACCCTATGGCTCCTTCCCTGTAAAAAAGGGACAATGAGTCTTGCCTTCATTGCAGCGATGGGACAGGTCAGTGAAAGCCAGGAAATCTCTGGAAGCTTCTGGAGAAGCCCAGAGCCTGCCCTGAGTGCCATGCACAGGCTGGTCCGAGGGGGCCAGATGTGGTTTGTATGAATATTGTCTGCACTGGAAGTCTTATACAGCTGTTTAGGGCTGCAGGACACTAGGAAGGATGAATGCTGAAAGAAAGGGGAGGAGAAAGGAAAGAACAGGCTGCACGTGTGCCACAGCATGCACAAGGCTGCCTTTGCTCCTGGCAGCCTTCAGCACTGAGAGTGGGCAGAGACAGCCCAAAAGGGGCTCAGAGGCTCTGAACAGTTGGACTAACATTTATTTCCCAGTGGGCATTTGGATGGTTCCACAGCTGAGAGCAAGGATTGCTGGCCTTGCTTTGGTATTGGCAAGAACTCCCAGCCTGGGTGTTATCCTCATGGTGCAGCTGGAGGGAGGGAGTGCTGGAGGGGCACAGCCACAGGCAGAGCCGGCATCAACCTCTTCCCCCCATCCTTAGACCTTCACGCCTCTGTCCATGCTCATGGTTCCCAGTGTCCCCCTCCCTCCCACCTGCCCTGGCACAGCTGAGCTGTGCCCCTTCCTGGCAGAGCTCTGCACACCATCCACTGTTGCAGCGATGCTGCTGCTCTTCACATCAGCAGCTGCAAGGTAGAGAAACAGAAAAGGAGCCTTTGGCCCACTATCCTGACACATTTAACTTACACAGAAAAGCCCCAGCAGCCCTCTGTGCCCTGTGCATGGGGACATGGCACCTACAGGTATGTGGCCTCCCAGTATGGTGCTGTTGTGCTGGGACAGCACCAGCTGGGGTTCCAGAGAAGCAGCAGCAGAGCTGGGCTGAATAGGGGCATCACCTACATCTCCTGTCTGCCCCTGTACACCTGAGGCTGTCCTTGCTTTCCACCATGGCTGATCAGCCTGATCCCTGTGGGACTCCCAGCCCCAGCCCTGCCCGGACAGACACTGTAGCAAGTGTCTGTGATCCAGTGGAGTGACAGTGCTGTCATCCTGCAATGGTCCTTGCAGCCTCCTGATCCCTGCTGGAGCTCCTTGATAGGACAAGAGGGAATGGCTTCCCACTGACAGAGGGCAGGGTTAGATTGGATATCAGGAAGAAATTAGTCCCTGTGAGGGTGGGGAGGCCCTGGCACAGGCTGCCCAGAGAAGCTGTAGCTGTCCCATCCCTGGAAGTGTTCAAGGCCAGGTTGGATGGGGCTTGGAGTGACCTGGGATAGTGGAAGGGGTCCCTACCCATGGCAGGGTGAGGAACAAGATGAGCTTCAAGGTCCTTTCCAACCCAAAACCATTCTGGGATTCTATGATTCTGTGTTACTGGAGCTTGGTGAAGAGCTTGGCTTTAACCCAAAATAATTCCTCCAGTGCCATGGCAGAGGCAGGCTGGAAAGGCTGCTGAGAGCCCTGGTAGCCAAGAGCAGCATCCCTGGGAAAAGAGCCCCTGTACTAGCTGAGAAAAAAACTGTGTTGTTCTGAGAGTCCAAACACCACATTCCCAGGGCTCAAGGTTGCATTTTGCTCCATCTCCACATCTGCACCCCAGGGAGAGCATGGCTGCCCTGTGGCACGTGTCCTGGGAGGATGCTGGGGCAGGGACCACACTGGGCCATGCTCTGTGTGTGCCGGAAGCCTGGCGGGCTCTGAGGATCTGTGGAAATGTGGCTGTGCTGGCAGTGCTCCCAGGTGAGCTGGGGACATGGCTGTCAGGCCCAGCGGTGTTGCTGATGGAGAGCCATTCTTTGTGTAAGAAAAGCTTCCAGACCAGCTTCCTCCCCGACCCTCCTTTTTTGTTATATTTTCAGAGAGTGCTGCAGGGAGATGCTGGTCTCTCAGAAATCATCCTGGCTGGAAGTCAGCTGAGGCCAGGCTAAGCAGCACTGCTGTAAGTGCCTTGACAGGTCTCTTGTCTGGCTGGTGCTAATCCCTCCAGATTGAGAGAGAAGGAAACTGAAGCAAACCTCACATTTTAATGACCGGAATTTGCTTATCATATTTTCTCCCTTCCATATTTTCTCCCTTCTCTCTTCCAGGGCTCCCAGGGATTCCTTTCCCCTCAACTGTCAGGAAGGACAGCGCTGAGGCCATGCTGAGGTGGACAGAGTGGTGCTCCCCATGCTGCCAGCTCTGCTGCAGTGCGTGTGGCTAATGCTGAGTACCAGGCATTGTGTTTTGGTGGAGCTGGGCCAGAAAGGAAGAAAAAACCCCATAAAATCATGGAATCATTAAAGTTGTAAAAGGCCTCTAAGATCTAGTCCAGCTATTAACCCAGCGCTGCCAAGCCCATCACTAACCGATGTCCCCAGCTGCCACATCCATGCACTTTTTGAACACTGATATGAGGCTCAAGGAACCCCTTGGCCAAGTTACTTCACTCCTGCCTCAGTTTCCTCTCTGCGTGAACTCTCACCGGGTGCCTTCCAGGGGCTGGAGAGCTCCGAACCTGCCACTGCCCAGAGCTGGAAGCACTGCCTGGGGATGAGCCATGCTGGGGTGATGAGCCTGGAGCACAGAGCAAACCCTGTGTCCCTGCACACCCCTTCTGGGAAGGAGGGCAGACTGAGGGGAGCCCTGGTGTTTCCAGAGGAAGTTTTCCCTGCACAGATCCAGCAAGGCTGCGGCGCTAGCGGTGCTCTGCATGTTCATGCATCTGTGGTGTAAATTGCCTGCCAGACACCCAGGCATGGGGCACAGAAAGGCTCTGGAGAGCAGACTGGGAACAGGAAAATGGAGCCCTGTTTTAACCCTGCTGCCTTTTGCAGAGGCTCCGTTCCGATGGGAACACCAGCTCCCCTGTGCCCGGAGCAGTGAGTGGGTAACAGCACCCCTTGAGGAGGGGAGGAGGAAGCTGCCAGCTACTCGCCAGGCTACTCACCCCATGGGAGCAAACTGTTGTGGGTTCTGCTGGGAAAGAAGCACTAATGGAGCTCCCCCAGAGTCCCAGCACAAATTTGGTTCCTGGTCTGGAGAGACCAGTGACGTGATGGCCACTGCCCATCACCAGGTGCTCCAGAGGAAGCTGTGGGCACCCCATGTTACTTGATGGGGAAAATCTGCATGCGTCTTTAGGTTTCCTCTGGAGCCATGAGCAGCACAGGAATCAGTCACCAGTGGACAAGCACAAACACAGCTGCAAATGACAACCCTGCTTCTGGGGAAAGCAGATGGAGTAAGAGCAACACCGAGCTCTTCAGAGCAATTCATGCTTCCAAACACTTTAATGCACATCACCTCACTAATCCGACACTCTCAATGAGCAGTTCTTGTCAGTTTGATTTTGCGCAACTTGCAAAATGTACCTTATTTCACTGTAAAATGAAAATCCCAGTCTTCTCTTTTACTTACTTCTTATTTAGGAGATAATTCAACAAAAAAAGGCAAACCAGATGGTTCTTCCTTCCTCTCTACCACCTGTTTCAGGCAGAGGGGATGGCATTTGCATCACTCGGCTGCTCTGCAGAGCTCAAATGGTCTCTGAGCATTCTCACCCTGTTCCCTGAGGTCGTTTTCTCCTGTGTTTTCTCCACTGGCCTCACCCTACAGCATGGCCACCCCTTGGTGGCCACTTCATCACCTGGGGTTAGGATAATAGTTTCCTTGCATGTGGATTATTGTTCTTAGTGCACCTCGAATTGTGCAGCCCTTATATAGGGGGCTGTTCCCTTCAATGTTTCCTGCTGAGCTTGAGAGCCCCAAGGATGCAAACCCCATCAATTCTAGGCTGTTGGTTGTTGATTTTCACATTGGAGCTGTTTCTGTCCACAGCACATGCTCCTCTTGCACATCAAAACCTACACTTGAACTGGTGAGTGATTCACAATCATCCACAGTGTAAGGAATTGGCAAACAAACTGTGATCCCTTATTTAGATTTACGGGATATGGACTGAAGGAGTTAGTCTCCCAACTTGATCTGCTGGACTGCTTTGGTCAGCTCTTGAAATGCAGCTGAGCAGGGGCCTTGGTGGCACCAGCTCAGCTGCTGTTGGCCTTGCACAGGAGAGGGGGTTTGTCACCATATCACCTTTCAAACTCAGTGTTGGGTGAGGTGACCTTGGTTGTAAACGCAGATTAAACTCCAGATGAGGAGGAGCAAAAGCCACACATCTCCAGCAGATGATGTCTGTTGTTTTTCCCCAGGAATGGAGAACACAACTTCATCTTGAGGGCTTTTCCTTAGGAGAAGCCACTCCAGTGCTTGTGCTCTTGAACTTTTGAGGTGATTGAAAATTGCATTCTTAGAAATGAGAAGAGGAATTTAAAAAGTCCGAAGACTACTCAGTTCAAAATAACTCCTGTTTTTGAGAGCCTGGACTTTGACTTGGGAACCCTTCAAAGCACCACGAGCCATGTCGTCTGGCTGGAAAAGTGGATGGTTTAGCCAGGTGAGCTCAGGTGAGCATGAAAGTGCTCTCCTCAGGGTGCCAGGAGATCACCCTCACCTTCTGCCCTGAAAGTCTTGATGGGTGGCAGTTGCTGGGGTGTCCTTGACTGAACTAGCCCAGCTGGCTGCCTCTTCTCAGGATGTCACTGAAAGCCACCTGGGATGGGGAGGTCACCTGGGGCACAACACCCATACCCACAGTCTGAGTTTGCTGGGCTGTGTCTGGGGTAACACGTGAGAGGCTGCTGGCCCTGAGTGCTGCTGTGAATATTTCCCCATCATGTCACAACAGGGGGGCCCTGAAAGCGAGCCCAAATGAGTGCACTTGGGTGAGAGGAGGGCATAATCCTCCTGGCATCAGGAGGGGTTATGGGCCTGCTTGCACACTGCTTAGGGGTGCAACCTCAAGGCCGTGCCTTTGGAGCGAGCCAACTGGAAAAGCAGCAGCCCAGCAAACTCTATAAGGTTGTGATTACCATGTGTGATGGTTTCACTCTAGGCCTTCCTGGAGACCAGCTTATAACCAGGAAGGAACTAGGAAAGTGATCACGGAAGTATTCCATGCTATTCCTTTACGTAACTTGAGGTATAAATAAAGCCAGCAGGAGGGACCTCGCTCTCTTCCTTTCCGGTGAGGTTCGAGAACGGTGGGTCCCTGTCTCGGTCTGGCTTATCTGGAGCTGAGGCCTACAGTGACTGCTGTTATCTGCCACGCGTGAGGGGAGAGCACTGGGCCGTGTCCAGCCATCCTGCTTGTTCAAAGGGAAGTGGTGAGATTTT